GGGAACCACAAAGAAAATAAAGTCCGGTAAGATTCAGGTAGTCCCCCCCCCCCCCCCCCCCCCGCTTTCCTTTTTCTGGTCTTTCTTTCACTGTTATCAGATGGGAATTGCAGCATAATGTTTCACGTGAATTCTTATAGGGTACGTTTGGTTGGAAAAGAAAAACATGATAGGAAATAAAGTGGAAGTAAAGAAGAAAAAAAAAAAAAATTCTCGCATATGTTTAATTTGGATGAAAGTTTTTGTACTTAAGAAATTAACCTTTTTAATTTTTGCATAGGGGAACAATAGGTAGATGACAAAGATGAGGGAAGAAATATAAATGAAGAGTAATGTTATTAAGCTTAAAATGCTGGATTGATTTGTTGACGTAATCAATTATTACTATTGATTTAACTATGAATTTTAGTATTTATTGAAATCCATTACCAATTCAGTGACCATAATATCAAATTTGATACCTAAATATATTTTCAATAAATGAAGGTATATGTGACGATTGAGGAGAAAGGACGTGGGGGAAAAACTATGGGTACAATGGGAATTAAAATAATGAGAATAAAAATATTTTCTTAAATTTATTTATCAAATATCGTATTTCAAATGATGTGTCAAAATGTATGTATTGAATGTTTGGTGGAAATTACTGGATCTCACTAATCCAACTATCTACGTTAATTTAGAATACAAAATTTAATAAATAATTTGGTAAACATTTTATTGCTATTAGAATAATTGTTACCCACTTTCACGGAAAGAGAAACTTCTCCACCGTATTGCAAGAAACCAAAGCCACCTTTACATGCATACAGCCCACCTAAACCCAATGATCTATCCATTAGGATGGTCTTCATAGATATATTTTTTTTAACTGTAGATTTTTTTGGTTCAATGGGATAAATTTGTGAATATTTTATTGTTGGGTCAATACTTCGGCTCTTCCAATTATCGGGCCTAACTTCAAAATTATCAGCCCATAGTAAGCCCAACTGCGTGATGGCAATCATGCCGGGCTAAACAGGTCAACCCACATGCCATGTTGAATTTGTCGACCCTTTGTTATGCAGCAGCCCACGGGGGTGGGCGGTGTCTGGTTGAACATGTATGTGACCATTGAACAGAAAATATGGTTCTTTTTCACATTATTTTGTCGATTTGCATATGTATGTATCACCAGGTCTTGCCGGCAATAGCCAACGTATCAAGCAATGTTGTGGTCTTTGTAAACGGCAAATCACATCCATTTGATACTATTATTTTCGCTACCGGATTCAAAAGATCAACACACAAGTGGCTTAAGGTAATTTTAAAAATACATGAAAATTTAATTTTCTCATCATACTTGTCTCTTTTTAGAAAATACGACGATTTGAACAATTTGATTTAATTAAACAGGGCGGCGATTATCTTCTGGGTGACGATGGGATTGCAAAGCAGAGCTTTCCAAACCACTGGAAGGGAGAGAAGGGACTGTACTGTGCTGGACTGTCGAGGAGAGGATTTTATGGAGCTGCCATTGATGCTCAAAACATAGCCAAGGATATCAAGATGTTGCTGTAAGAGTGTCCTCGTAGCCCAATAATTATATCAGGTGTGTCCGTCCATACATGTTTATACTTTACGTAGCTGTACACAACAGTGTTAAGAGTGTACCAAACTAAATTTACTTTTATGTACTCCATATGGAAGAGTGTGTGTCCTCCTAGCTTGTGGTCTGGTTTATGGCTAAAGAGGCCTAAGTTCCTCGACCAACAATAATTTTGTTACATATCAGTTGATTGCAGAACGAGTTTTTTTTTTTCTTCTTTTTTCATTTCTTTTATATGTCTCTATCAGGAGAAGGATAGGTTTAATAAAAGCATTACACTCTGAGATTACCATTCTCTAACTTCCGGTGAAGGTGGGTTTGACAAACTTGTAGAATCATCCACATACTAATTATAGGCCCCGAACTTTGAGAGAAAGAGGTATTAACGAAAAGAATAATGTTACATTGACCAAATTTAAAATTCAAATGATATGACAGCTGACTTTAACTACTTTATTTTATGTCCTGTAATGGAAAAAGTTATGGTACCAATTTTTGGTCGTTAATTTTGAATTAAATAATTTATAATTATTAATTAAAATTTTATAAAATAAATAATTATGTATATGATGTATTTTTATTGACTAAAAAATAAAAATATCTTATAAAAAATAATTTACGATACCTAATGGGACACAAAATTAATTAGGTTGATTCTCATAGTGAGTTTGACTGGTAGCTGAACAAGCCCGTGACGGAGGTTCCTCCGTCACATTTTGTATTTACTCAAGTCAGCGACTTCTTTGTTTTGGATTTCACTTTATCTTGTACCGAAATTTATCATGTTTTTTATATTTTTTATCTATATTTATAAGTATTTTTATCATTCTTATAGTCCTTAAAAAAATAGTAAAAATAACTATCATAATAGTGATAAAAATACTTACAAATATGGTAAATCAATAACAAAAATAATATTTTTTTTGTACTTCAAAAAAGTTATAAAAATAGTTGATAAAAATATTCATAACAATAAAAGTGATAAAAATTTTAATTATAAATCAGTGGTCCCACAGAATACCAAATTAACGACGTTTAAAGAATATGTTGTACTATTGTATGTTAAAAGTAAATTTTTTAAAATTTTAGGGATAGTTCAAATAATAATAAGGATAAATTATAAATTTATTTATTTTATATTTGAATTTTGGCAATTTTTTGGGATAAGATCCTCATGAATTTTTTAATCCCGATGTGAATGTTATAATTTTGATCGAACAGAAGAGAAGATTAGTAGATATGGGTGTAAATTGACTTGAACACTCATGAATATTGTACTAAAAAAAAAATTAATATCACATCAAACGTTACCTTCAATAATGAATTTTTATGTATTTATAGTAGTTGATATGGAAAATAACAAAATAAGATAAAATAATAGGATAAAGAAATTTTGCACATATTACTTTTTTATTGAATTAGGAAAAGGAGAATTATATTATTGAAAAATTATGGAATATGGAATAAAATGGCAAAAGTGGTCATGGCTTTTCTGTTGAATCTTTTAAGTAAGGAGTAAGGTATTGGCACCAGAGAAACAAAACTTGTACTCTTGCAAGCCTTTTTCATTTATTTATGGTACAAACTAATCTTAAAGGAATCTTCAACAACCTGACTCTGCACACAGTCCGAATTGTGATTTAATGAAAAAACTCTCCCTCTCTCTCACACACAGACACACACCCCTAAAATCTTAATTTAAAGAGAATTTTACATTTAACATGTGCTCCGAATTTCAATTCTTCTTGAAGATGAGCAAAAGAAAGATTTTGCATCGATCTTTATCAGCCATCTCTCGTAACCAACAAGCCATCGCCACATCAAAGCAGAGAAGGCTGCTACATCAAGGGCCATGCCATGAGAAAGATTTGTAATGTATAATCTAGCACATGTAAATTGTTCATTTTATTAATAAGGCTGTCTTATTCTATACTCCTAAAAAAATTTAACTAATGAAAACCTAAAAAGACAAAAAAAAAAAAAGAAGGTGCAAATCATTCTTTTTTACGGTTCAAAGGATTTTGATCAAAAAAATGTTTGTGACTACTGAACTAAGCAATAATTCTTCAATTTGATAAGGTTGAAAGGACTTGTACTAATTGTTTTCTGATTAAAGTGTTTGATTGAGAGGTATAAATCTTTCGGATCAAAATAAGGGGTTTGATTTTAAGATTAGATAGTCAAAGAATGCAAGACCACATTTCAAATTGTCAGGATATTATTCATTTTACGTGTCCATATGTATTCACGATTTCATTCTTCTAAAGTTTTTCCCCTAAAAAATACATTTTATTAGTTAAGTCGGACAAACCACATAAATAATCCAAAAAAATTTCCTTTCGAAAGGCATTTTTAACGGCCGTAGTACTTTCTTACCTCAAAAGATATTTTTGGTAGGAATAATGTTACATGGACTTAAAAACTAGACTTGATAATTACAATCATTGATTTTACTGTGGGTCTCATTACCTATTCAATGATTGTAATTATCAAATCTACTACTTTAAAATTTAATTTTTAAATTCGTGTATCGTTATTCTTTTGGCATGCTACTACACACACGGTTGTCATTTTTTCTTTTTCTTTTTTTCTCCCTTTGTTCTCTTGTGATGATTGTGAAATTTTTGACCGTTTATGATTAGTCCAGCTAATAGAAAGTGTCCCATCAAGGGTATTTGTTTTCAACTTTAAGATCTAATTAAATCTTGAATGATGGTATCTGTTTATGTTTATTAGAGTTTTGATTTTTAAGTATAAAGTTTGGGTGCTTGTTGAAAAAATAAGACGTAGCTGAAGTAAAGGGACCAAATCAGAGCATGTCACAGCCCGATCGTGCTTATTATATAAGGAAGCTTGGCTATTATCTGGCTATGCTTTTATACAAGCATATAACTACCCCCACTCTCTTCTCGCACACATTCACACAAGCACACGAGCAAGCATGGGCTTCAAGGGCGAGCTCTTGGTGTGCGCAATATTAGAATGTGAAACCATGGAAGAAATGTTATCTTCCATGGAGAAAGCAAAGGAAGAAGGTGCAGATTTAGTGGAACTCTGTATAAACTCCATGTCCTTTTCCCACATTTCTGAGGTTGAACAACTCCTCAAACAAAGGACTCTCCCTGCAATCGTCTCTTTCAGGTACCCTTTTTTTTTTTTCCCTATTTGTTCTTATCTTTTCATTTCTTCTCTCTCCTCCCTCTCTTTCTTTTTCCTTCTCTTTTGACCCCCTAATTACCTAATTTTGTTATGTAAGTCTGCCTTTCCATTCCATCTCTCCTTTCAGTTTCTTTGTTTAGCACCACAATGTAATTTGATCCATCTTCCACAACTTGATAATATTATAATTAAAACAATAACCGTAAAGTTCGACAATCTTTTGAGGGAGGGGAGTCTGACAAAGAACTCACATAAGGGAAAAGGAGGACATGAATGGCAAAGGCTTAAAAGGCCCTCACTGCAGCTCTGGCATATAGGATTTTTTTTTTTTTTTTTTTACTGTAAAAGATGTTTGGACCATTTTATGCACATTTTGTCTCTGAATTTATAATTCGTCCATCTACCACTTAAGTTACCACTTTGAGTTCTCTAGAATATAGTTCAATCTACTCCCCCTCGGTATTTCTTTCACCTGTTTGTTGTTGGAGTGCCTGAAGCAAATAACTGGGGAATCAAAGAACCAAGAAGACACCTGGTGTGTGTGTGAGAGAGAGAGAGACAGAGAGGGGTATGGGTGGGGACTGTGAAGTAGTTTTTTTTTTATTGCAAACACGTGAGCGGCAGCTTACCTTGCATGAAGAGTGGAGAGTCGGTAGAACACATCAAGGCGGTGGCCCATGGGATATGAACCAGACGTAAGTGAAGCTGGGCCAGCAGTTTTGTAATCAAGGCATAAGGCATGTCTTGTATTGTTTGTATCAATTATTTATGTCTACGGGGCATATAATTAAGTGCCGTTTCACGTGGGGTGCAATACTTTGATTCCTCTTGCAATCGCTTTCATGTCCCTTTCACCTACTAATTGTTGGACAAAAATCTGTGGGAAAAATTGAACAAAAGTTAATCTATCAATCAATCGTGTTGATTACCGACACAAATGCACATCTATTGTCGGTGGCTGTAAAGTTTTTTTTGAGTACATATGGACTTAATAATTGTAATTATTAAATTATCAGTAAATTCTAGTATTAATTAGTTAATCGATTTTTTCATTTTTTATTTTTGCAGTTTGGATGATTTTGCTTGCCTCAACATGAATGACTGATTTTTTATATTTTTGACATGTCTCTGGATGAATCAAATTCTCAAAGGACATTTTGCAGAGGTGACTCCAAGAAGACATGTTTGCAAGTTCTGCAACTCGCCCTCCAACTAAATGTCGAATTCGTCGAAATTGAGCTTGAGGTTGGTTAACTAATCTGATCCCTCTCTCTCTCTCTCTCTCTCTCTCTCACCCAGCTACAGAGAATTCAAGGGTCCTCTCATTCGCCATACCTATAATCAGACCCCCCAAGTTAACACTGTCATTAAGGAATCTAGTCCAACATGGACACCGCTTTCTATGCCACATGACTTCCACTCAATTGGGTTTCGAACCGAGCCATTCGGGTTCCGTTCGAATTTGAATTGTTTTGGACTTTGATTGAATAATTTTTTAATCTAGTTTATAAAAACAAGCCTAGAGGCTCGTCTCGAGTTCGAACTCATTTCAAAACTAGTCAAACTTAACCAATTTTTTAAGTTTACTTAGAAAAATGAGTTCAACCGGCTCGACCTAATTATCGGCCCTAATTGGATTATTGGCAAAATTAATTGCAGTTATTTATTGTCTGATACTTTTTAAGTAAATTTGTTATGGTAGTTTGGAATCATGATATAAGTTTCCTCCTAAATGTTGCAATGGAGGGATAGTCTCATAAGATTTTATATTCCCGGAGTGTGCACATATTATTCAAGTCCATGGGATTGCAGACACATAATGCATGTATATCTATCTCATGAAGTAACAAGTCTAGTGTCTTCAATTTGTAGCATCCCGACTCCTGAGGTATGTTGTACATCCCTGCCTCTGTTTCCAGAGGAGCAACCACATGTAAAAATGGGATATTCGGATTGAGGCAAAGAAGAGATACCTCTTTCACTTGCATTATAGCCAAATTTCTTTTGCACCTGTCTATGAAGTTGATTATCATTGGTGATAATTTGATAACATCGAGCATTTGTTAAAATGAACTTCAGATTGTAAAATTGATTTCATTCCTAGTGCCTTTGATTTCATTTTATATCTTCATATGTTGTTTTTTCCTGTCTTAAAGAACTATCTATTCTTGTAAAAAGAGTTTGTTGGAGTCTTTTTCTTGGTAATTTTTCTTGATGCCATCATGCCGGACTACTGGCTTTTGTATATGACTTTTATATGAAAGACAACAAGCTGATCCTGATTTCCATATTCTCACTTAACCAATTGTGTAGTATGTGATATTTAACATTTTTAAGCTGAAAGTTTCGTTAAGTTCTCTCTTGAACACACTGAACTTTCCAGGTGGCTTCTAATGTTGTCATGACTGAGCTTATGAACAAAAGATCAAATAGCAAGCTAATTGTATCAAGCTATATACAAGGTGGGCATCTTTCTAAAGAGAAACTTGGCAACCTGGTCACATGCTTGCAATGCACAGGGGCAGATGCCATCAAACTTGTGGTTGATGTTGTTTACATTACAGACGTTGCACCAGTTTTCCATATGCTTACCCATTGTCAGGTACTTGTTATCACTTGGGAACTTAACAGATTTTCCATTTTGTTATGGCAAATAATTGTAACTCTTGTTCACCTTATTGCCTTACTCTTATTAAATATTTACGACGCTATAAAAGTTTCTAAATGTTTTGCTCAGAGAAACTCCGTCTTGATAATAATTGACAAATTAAATAGCATTGTACAACATTTTACTTTTTTTCTCAATATTGTGCAAAAGTGCATCTGATTGTGGTGTTGGTAATCCATCACTGGACATCAGACATGGCAGAAATGGGGTTGTTTTGTTCCTTCCTTTTGCCTTATACCATACCGTTATTAAGTTCCTTCCATTTCCCCTTCATAAGTTTAACAGTACAAATTCACTTAACTTTGGTTGCTCTACCTGCAGATACCACTAATAGCCAGAGCCGTGGGAGATAGAGGTCTTATAAGCCAATTATTGGGCCCAAAATATGGTGCTTTTCTAGTCTCTGGATCTTTGGGAGGCAATTCCATTCCTGGCTTGCCACCCCTAGCTAGCATCAAACAAGTTTATAAGCTCGAATATATGGATGTGGATACAAAAGTTTTTGGTGTCATCTCAAATCCAGTAGGCCATAGCAAAGGCCCCCTTCTGCATAATCCTGCCTTTAGACATACAAGATATAATGGAATTTACGTCCCGTTGCTTGTCGACAATGTCAAAGAATTCTTTAGGGTGTATTCTTGCAACGACTTTGCGGGTTTCAGGTATGCAAAATTTTCCAAATGGAGGAACACAGGAGAAATTTTTTGTTAGTTGTACTTATAAGTTGTCTCTTGTTCCCCTGGTCATATATGTCAATATTTGGTGACTGGTATTTTTAAAGGTAATTGCTGCAGCTTGTGTATCTGAGATTCTGAATAATACATGATGCCGACAACAAAATTCTAAGGCTTAAAAAATCCTATATAGTTTGACAAGTTATTTCTCTTTTCATTTTTTTAAGGATTCATTAGTTCTGAGTAACTGGCAAGGAAACCATGCCCCATTGATGTAGAATCACGGAAGTCATGGAGCTTTACTTTATCTTTGTAATCATTTTGAATAGATTTTCTTTCTCCCCCCCCCCCCTCCCGCCCCGGGGGCCAGGAAGTGAATATAGTTTCTTCATATTTTCTTTTATGTTTTAAAGGGTGTTCTAGAGTTGTTTTAATTATAAGGGAATTTTTGGGGAATTTTTTGTGAATCATTATCATCAAACTAGATGTCTCTGTTTTTAAATAGAACACAGTTTGTTGAGTAAATTTTTCTGATGAATGGTATTCTTCATTTTGGTGGATTTGTAGTGTTGGAATTCCACATAAGGAAGCAGCAGTAGAGTGTTGTGATGAAGTCCATCTCCTAGCTAAGGTCTGAAAACTTTGCAATCTGATGTGTGTTTTGTAAAGAGGACCACATTACGAGAAATGAATTTTGTTATTTCATTGTAGTGCCCAAAAGTTCTCCCCTAAGGAAAAGAGGAAAAGGGAAACAACAAAAACCCCTCTTTTGTGTGTGTGAATAAGATTCAGCCTTCAATCCTCCCTTTTATGTTTTCCCTTTATTTACTATGATTAATGTGTAATTAGTAACCTGTTCAGGCTAGGGTATTTTGGCTTAGGGGGCAAATGAGCTTTTGTTCTCAATTGCCTATTTAAAATATGATATGGTGCCAAACTGAACCAACTCTGGTGCTTGTACTATTTCAGTTAATTCTCATGCCGGGACATTTGATTTCATCTCTCTCTACACTCAATTTCATAGGGCCTCAACTCAACTACCTTGATTCAACTAAGGCTACTTATTCTTTGTCATTTTGCTTTCTCTAGGGCTACACAATAAGAAATAAGATTTATGTGTATAAGATATTAAGGATTTAGCACTTTAAACGGGACTGGTCAGGTTGAGATAGATGGCACAGTGCCCAATTGGCACTTTCATCTATGATTAGTGTCTTGAATTGAGTATTAATTAATTCCTCCTCCCTAAGACCTAGAGTCTTCATTACCTGCCATTGATATTGAATACTGTGGCACAAAATTTCGTATTTGCTGTTTTTAATGTGTCATTGATAAACCTTTTCAAACTGTCCGATGCTTTGCCAATCAGTCCATTGGAGCTGTAAACACCATTGTAAGGAGGCCTACTGATGGGAAGCTGGTTGGTTACAATACAGATTGCGAGGCTTGTATATCTGCAATTGAGGATGCACTTAGAGGTACTATCAGTCTATCACCTATTCTAAAATTGAAAGAATTATCATACCATGGAGGAGATATATATATGTCATTTCTTTATTGATTTAATGTAATGCATCTCTATTGTTTTTCTAATTTAAAATATGAGCAGTATCTTTACGAAAATTATAAAAGCTTCAGTTGATTTCAAAAGGACTGAGGCTCTTGAAATAATGGATTAGAAATTTTGTTTATAATTTGGTATGTAACTCGGTTTATTCTGCTTTAGCCAATTTAATTATAGCTGATATTTAAATTTCTTTATTTGTATGGAGTACATAACTTAAGCACCAGGCTAGTCCGACAATAGAAAGCTAATTCGCATTTATGGGTTGATCAGAAAGACGAATTACCAATGGGCAAGCATCTCATGCTTCTCCTATTGCTGGGAAACTGTTCGTTTTGGTTGGAGCAGGAGGTGCTGCAAGAGCAATGGCTTTTGGTGCCAAAAGCAGAGGAGCAAGGATTGTCATTTTCAATCGTAACTTTGGTAAAAACTGAAAACTCTCCACTTAACGTTTATAGGCAGTTTCCTTTTCTCCAGACTCTGATCCTTCTTTTCAAAGAGAGAGCAAAGGCTCTTGCACAAGCAGTTTCTGGTGAAGCTCTGCCATATGAATGTCTAGACAAATTTTGCCCTGAGAATGGAATGATTCTTGCAAATGCTTCAGCTGTGGGCATGCAGCCAAATACAAATCAGACTCCTGTTTCTAAGGTTTCTATCTCTGTCTCTGTGTGTATGTGTGTGTGCACGCGTGTGTGTATCCAGATAAATAATAGAGACCCTCAAATCTTCCCCTTTTCAACTGCTTTTAGGATGTCTTGGGATCGTATGAGCTGGTTTTGGATGCGGTTTACACACCAAGAAACACACTGCTATTGCAAGAGGCTTCAGAGGCGGGAGCCATAGTGGTGAGTGGCGTTGAAATGTTCATCAGGCAGGCGGTTGGTCAGTTCAAATTGTTCACTGGTGGATTAGGTACTCGTTCTCTACTACATCAGATCAATAAAATTAAGAAGTAAGAAATTTTGCCCCCGTATTTCATAAGGTATAGTGGATTTTCTAGCGCATAGAACTGTTGATGACAAGAAGTAGGTTTCAATCTATGAGTTTAGCTCAGCGATTTAAGGCCTGTTGTTCTTGGAAATTGCCGGGGGTTTTCACTCCTTACAACAGACTTGATGATTGCCCTAAATTGGAAACTTGATTAATTATATTTTTTGCTTTTACTGTTTTTCCAGCGCCAGAGGACTTCATGCGCAAGATTGTTTTGGAACAATTCTGATTGGCTTCATGGATTTCTTCCGGCCCTGAATATGTTTGCAAGATCAACTCTAAAGTTTGTTGAAGTTGTCCCAAGTTTTGCCAACTAGGTAGTTAAAGTGAGAGATTGAAAGAAGTGCACGCGAGCTCCAGGGAGATTGAATTGAAGATTAATTTTTTGTAATCGGAATAATGTGAACTGAAGATTATTTTCTTTATCATTGGAATAATGTAGAGTCGATCCATTTGAGAGAAGTTGGGTGAATTTCTTGATGCTTCTGCTGTTATCTTGAAATGAAAAAAAAAGGGGACATCAACTCTTAATTCTCAAGTAACACCATCAATTATCATATAATTATCTTGAATCCAACCATGTCCAACAGCTATATTTCATCTTTCCATTGAGCTTGATCTAAGGTGGTTGAAACAGATGGTGGTAAAATCATGGGCTGAAATTGTGGTTGATTATGATGGTGACATTGCTTTAATTGGTGGTGTTTCTCCTATATATTTTGACGGACTCATTCAAGGCCACCTATCAATGCAAGTAACTTCAACCTTCCCTCTCCGCACACTAGTGCCGAACCACATTAACTTGTTCTCTCTTGTTCTTTTACTTTTAATGTTCTTTGATTTGATTTCAACAGCGGGATTACTCCAATTTTCTGTCAAGTAAGTGATATCATGCAAAAAGTGGTAAACATCAAGAGGTCCTTCGACAAGTTGGACGCTGTTGTAGCTTTGGTATATTAGCATCAACTACGAATTTTATTTGGAGAAATTGACTGGTCTCTAGTAGTGCTTCATGGGCGCATTGAACCTGATTTTTAGGGCGCGTTTGAACGAAAGAAACGAGATATTTGAGTTTTAATTACTATAGTAATGTCATATTTAATGTTTAGTTATTTTTAGTAATCTAGTGTGTAAATTAATGTCATTGTCAAAATTGTTTTAAGAAAGAACTTAATTTTAAAAAAGAGATTAATTTTAAGATAAAAACTTAATTTTTAAAATGAAATTAATTTAAAAATGAGTTTCATTTTAAAATTTTTATTCCTTTTATAGAATACCCGATGAATGCGGGCGTGAAATTATCACTATTAACCATGAGTTTAGAATACTCACTATTATTGGGAATTAGATTATTATAATAATCTTATGTCCAAATTAAATTACTAAATAATTAACTATTTAAAAATGATAATTTACGATTTAGAAATGAGAATCCTATTCTTAATCAAAATTACCTTTATCTAAACAGGGTTTAGAGGCCTTCAAGTCCTGTTTTCTATCAAACTTGGCGCTGGTATCTAGATTCGAATCGTTGCTTTGCTTCCTTCGGTCGCTGTCATCTATTTTACCGTTAAAAAAATTTGAGATAATTATAAATTACACTTTCAAAGTTTAATTATTTCATGTTTATGATTGAAAAAAAATTCATTCATTAATACTCGCTAAATACCTTTAATGTATCATATCGTATCATTTTCGTCTTGTGTTTAAGTTGATAAAAAAATATTTTTAACATAAAATATTTTCGTGTCGAGTTAATTGTGTTGTGTCGTATATTTCACATTTACAACAATTTATATAATACTATATAATATTTTTTAAAAATTATAAAAATACCTATTTTTTACCTATAGTACTTATTAAATAACAATTTTTTGTTTACAATTATGTTATTCATATCTAATTTTAATTTGATTGAATAGTCAAAAGATTCTTATCTAACTATAAACAAAAAAATAGTTGTTTAACCAGTATTGTAAACAAAAAATAGATATTTTTTAAATTTTTTTAAAATTTAATTTTCTTTTATTGACTCGAATATAGGACAAAAATATTATGACACGATATAATTGAAAGTTATTTAACGAGCATTAATGGAAGAAATTTTTTTGGATCATATATTTGAAATATTTAAACTTTAAGGATGCAATTTATAATTAGTCTAAACTTTTTTAATGGCAAAATAGATGACAATTAATTTTAGGTACACATTGATACGAATTTATGTCTTTTAGGGTGTAAATTGATATTTTTAAACTTTAATAGTATAAATTGAGATTTAAGTGATCTTTTAGGGCCTATTTGATATGATTTTTGGCCGAGGTTTGGATTGGTTTGTCTAAACTTGGGTTTGACCAAAAATGGGATTCAATATTAAATGTTCTTCATACTCATGTTTGACATGCGCAGAGATATATGATTATTATTATAATATATTTATATTTAAATTACTATTTTACCCCTTAAATAATTTATTTCAAACATTAGTATGGATATATGAGGGGTATAAAAGTTATTTGAATGTGAAACTCCAAACCCACATATGAAACCCACCCCCGTCAGTTCTATGAAACCCATGAATAAGGGTTTCATGACTAGGTCGGATTTCAAACCCAGGCTAAATCTATAGTTACCAAACATAGATTTAAGAGGGTTTAATCTCAAACCCATATTTCAAAACCCCCCAAACCTACATACCAAACATCCCTTAGAGTGCAAGTTAATATCAACCCTTCTCTTTTTGGGGAGAATTACACTTTGTGCCTCAAAGAATCAAAAAATTTTATTTTATATCCTTAAATATTAGATTTTTCATATTGCATACTCAATGTGTAAACAGAATAAATAACGGAACGATCGAATCTGACTCTAATCCTAGTATGAGACTCTCCTCAGTCTTGTTGAATGACTTTAATATTATGTTTCCTGGTCTCCGGCTGTCACTTTGTCATTGGGAGGTAAAGCAAAACTAGGATATATCAATGGAAAAATCAAGGCCCAGATAACTCTAAATATGATGGGTGGTTGTCAATTGATCAGTTGGATATGTCATGATTTTTGTAAATAATTGTGAAAGTGAGGCTCAACAAAAAAAAAAAAAAATTGCGAAAGTGAGGCAAAAAAAATATGCTGAAGCTTAACTTCAAAGGTTTATTTCAATTGGGAGGCTGATATGCTTTTGGAATCTCTGATTATTATTTATTATTCATAACGCATGGTGAGTAGTAAGTAACTTTTATGTACAAGTTATTTACCAAAAAAATTCGTGTACAAGAACAATCCATAAAATATAAAGATATTACAGGCATAGCAAGTGATGAGTCCGAATTTTATTGGGTCAAGCCCAATAAAAATAAGTCGAAAAAGTTCAAAGAAAAGTCCAAGAACAGATAGATCGACCAAGGAGTCAAGTGAGAGTCCAAAACAGAAACCAAGCCCATCCTCAAAGGGGGTGCCGCCCAAGGGACCAAATGGGCGCCGCCCATGTGGCCTTAAGTAGGCGTTGTTCATGTCTTGGCCATCCTCCCCTCCTCACTTCACTCCAATGCAAACCCAAGATTACTCCGGGTCCAAGCCCAAAGTCAAGTACGAACTTAGTTCAATTTAAGACCCTCCTCCGAAGAAATAGGAGCACGAGGGAGAAAATACCCGGATAGGCATAGAGATCTCCTATCATAGTTGTACTTACTAAAACAGTAGAAGTCTTACTCCTCACGTTACCGTCTCACCACCTCATCACGCCTACATAATATAAGTCTTCTCCACATAGAGGCATGCTCTCATAGTCTTGAGATCCCTATACATACTAAACCTTCCTATACACATTACTCTCTCTCTCTCTCTCCCAAAGAATTGTATTTCTCCCGGAGTATTCTCCTGGCAACATTATTCATTAATAAAGATATCCAGTCACCGCTGCCGTTCCCAAGAGTGAAGTAGATCACTCAGATCGAACAACTATAAATCCCTGTGTTAGCTCCATTATTTACAGTTTTACCATTAATTGTTTGTTTATTGTTCATTGATTACCTCTATTTATATTCTTGACTGTTGATCTTGCACGAGACCGATTTGTGCATCATCAGTTTGGTGTCGTATGTGAAAAACGACTATTTTTTCTATTCTTTTGATCCAAGACAATTACTACCAGATCAATGAGCCAACAACCGGGAGACAACAACCCGACCCCCCGGGAAGAGGCTCTGCTTCCCTCGCACCATCGGAACCATCTGCTACGATGACCCTCGTCGTCGGACAACAGCTTCTATAGACTATGCAACTACTAGTAAAACAGAACCAACAGATCATCCAGTTAATGCTCATCCAAGGAGGTGTCGCCCCTCACCCTGTAGGAAGAGCCCTACTACCTCCAACATAAGAGGAGCAGCAACCCTTTCCTCCTGGGTGTCAGGCAGCCCCTCACCATGGGGGCCCTCGCCAGAATGCCCCAAGGCCACACCAAGGCGCCCCTCTCCCAGTGGTCCTTCCTCAACGCGCAGGGAGCTCACATGTTACCCCTCCACACGTACCTACGCAGGAGGACGAAGAAGGAGATAGCTAATATGGGGACTATGGAAGCCAGAACCATCACCCACAGAGGACGTCCCCAACCAATGGGACGAGAAGATCAGAGAGGTGCAAAACCAACTCAGCGACGCCCTCAACGCAATCAAGGCCCAGGTGCCTGAAACCGTGGACTACTTGGTAAGGCGCACCGATACCCCTTTCATTACTGATATCGTTAACTATCCCTTACCCTCGAAGTTCAAGATGTCCACCATCGAGATCTTCGATGGCACCAAGGACCCCTAGACCACCTGGATACCTACAAATTCCTTATGCAACTCCATAATGTGCCTGCGGAGATAATGTATAGAGCCTTTTCTACCACCTTGAAGGGGCCTGCTCGCTAGTGGTTCTCCAAGCTCAGGCCCTCCTCCATCCGCTCCTTTGCCGAGCTCAGCAGGTCCTTCGTCTCCCACTTCATTGGGCGACGTCGACATCAGAAACCAATGACCCATTTGCTCACTATCCAACAGGACTGGGATGAAAGTCTTAGAGACTACCTTGCTCGCTTCAATGAGGATATCCGCCATGTTGAGGAGCCAGATGATAAAGTAGCTCTGGCCGCCTTTATCGCCCGGCCTCCGCACCTCCAGCTTCATATTCTCAATCCTCAAGAAGCTGCCCTCCAACATGCCCGAGTTACTGTCAAGGACACAAAAGTATATGAAGGCCGAGGATGTCACCAAGGCCAGATGAGGTGAGTCTTCCCATGGGGGCAAAAAGAGAAAGGATACCCACGAAGACAAGAGAAAAGTAGAGAATAAGAGGAATAGGACAGAGAAAATCTCCACCAAGGACCGCCTTGGTCTCCCACCTCTGAGAGAACAACAGACATTCACGCCACTCATTGCTTCCGCAGAGCATATCCTATTCCAAATACAGGATGATCCCACGCTTCGTTGCCCTGAAAAAATGAAGTCTGCCCCAAATCGTAGAAATCCCAGCAAGTAATGTCGTTTCCACCGCGACCACGGCCATGATACGGACGACTGCTTTGATCTTAAAAAACAGATCGAGGAACT